ATATATAGTCTTGTACATTGATGATGTTTATAATAAAATTGATCATAAGGGAAAAAGCTATATGGTGATATATAGGAAATCAAATGTTTATGGGATCATTATGTATTCTGACTTGGATTTTACTTGATGCCAAAACAACTATCAATCTACATCGGGTTACATTTACCTGCTACATGAGGAGTGTAACACCCGTATTTGGGGACTAATTTTTTTGTCCTTTATAGTAGAATTTAATTGTTGAACAAATAACTAAATTAAAAACAAACAAATAAAATAAATTATATAAATAAATGAAATAAATACGCATCGGTGAATTTAAAAGCTTCAATACTATTAGAAATGATGTCTTAGGGTTAAATTAAGATTTTAAATATGAAGAATTATTTTTGCTAAGTTTAAGAAACTTGGAGATACTCGGATTTAGATTAAAATGGTGCACAATAAAATCATACATTCGTATACATTGAATCACATAAAAAAAGAATATATTATGAACTAGTTGTGAAACTCATGTATTACATGTGTTAATTTCAAAAAATATATATATATACTGATCTAAATATTTGAGAACTTTGAATTTATAAGAAAATAAGAAAAATAATGAATTATTATAATGAAAATGTTTTTTTATCTTTTAAATTTAAAAAAATAATTTAAATAAAAAAACAAAGAAAAACTAATGAGCTTTAATTTTGAAATTAAAAGGTAAGTTCATTAATCACATTGATATCCATTTATTATTACATTTATTGCAATTATTATATTAAATTATTATGTGTAATTAAAAAAATAGAAAAATTTATAAAATTACATGTGGAAAAAAAATAATTCAAAATAATCACAAAATGACATTTGACAATTTAAATTAGAGTTTGACAAATGACAAAAAAAACTTTGATTTATTAGAATAGAAGATTATAGATAATCAGTATTAAATTAATTGGGAAAATAACAAATCTTAAAATTAAGAAATTTATTTTTAAATTTAATGCAGTTTCTTTTTCATCTATCTTAACCTACCAGCCGTCATATTCTCTATCACACAAAACCATCGAGATTTTCATCGCCGCCTCTCACTAATTCATTCATAGTGCCGATTTTTTGTTTATTTAATTCATTCATATTACATATAATTTTTTTTGAAAATGACGGAATTATATTAAAAACCACTACAAAAAAGGTAAAGACAGGACAAAGAGATACGTATAAATTAATAGCAGCTATTTTCTTTTTAGTTGAGGAAGCATGCATACATACAGAAATAATAATAATAAGGCCATGCACATGTAGTAATAGGTGGAAACAAGCGCCGAAGAATGTTTGACATTTTTTTTTCTTTTTTTTTTCGGAAAATATTTGGATCTTGGAAGAGGTTATGAACTCTTTTAGTTTTTGGAAAATGCGCTCAATGCTTAGAAAATGCTTAGATACTTAACACATTATTATTATTATTATTATTATTATTATTGGCTTAAATACAATGTTTATAATGTTTTATATTCATTAATGTAATATTATAGAATTAGTATTTGGAATGTTTAATTTTTATAGTTTCATATTTTCATGGAATTACTATTTGGAATGTATAATTTTTTAGTTTCATATTTCGAAGGTTTACAATCATATATGTTTATTACCGAACATGTATGAACATAACCAATTTATGAGTTCTTGAAGACAATGTGAACATATGAAAATATTTCATATTCATACCTTATCATAACATCCATACATGTTCATTTATGAACATCAACAATTTCTGGATTTTTGTATAAATGTTCATTGTTCATCTATGAACAATTGATCTTCATGATCATAATATTCATACATGTTTAGTTATGAATGTGTATGAGCATGACCAATTTCTAAGCTTTTGTATAAATGTTCGGTTATGAACGTGTATTTTAGGAGATCTCTTACTATTTTGGATAGTAATTAATTAGATTTAATGAATATCAATTTCCATGGGATTTAATAAATTTAATATTTCTTTTTAATTAAATTAGATTTTACCATCATACCTCTCATGAATCTAATTTGCTCCAAAGGTAAATAAAATGGTTTTATGGCTTTATGGTTAAATTTAATTCTATGTTGATCTCACCCCTATACCCATATATATATATAT